CATCTCTATTTGCGCTGGTAATACATTGTCAATAAAACTATATTACTATCTCATCAGGTTGTCAGCAAGTTCTCTTCGGTATTTTAATTATTATAATTTTATTCATATGTTTAACTACTTGATTGTCATATTATTTCGTTAACTATTCTTCCGTTGTATTGGACAGAAACATTATTCGTCAATGTGGTTTTCGATGCATTCTTTATAGTTCAAAACTTGATGCTTTTAAGCGAATAAAGCATTTCATTGATTCGTTTATTCGTACAAATTACTGTCGTATCATAACGTCAGTATATGTGAGAATGTTTACGTTTGGTTCTTATCACTTGATATGTTATCAGTTGAGATGTTGGTGAGTCACTATCAGTGATTAACTGATACAATTTGGACGTGTCGATCGCCTTATGACCGGATGCTTAGTTACCCTGATGTACTGATTGTTTTTGTGTCGCATTTTGCGTCGAGTTTATTTCCGTGTCATTTAACCTCACGATCAGTACGGTTTCTATCGTTAAGAAAATAAGTAATTCAGTTACAGTCCGCGGCTCATTTGCAGTCTGTTGACAGCTTACCGATAAACTCTTGAGAGCATGTTTTTCCCGGTTCTCAACTAGCGATCTCTTCGTGATATCTTACAGATCCCCTTTGGAGATATCTATTAATCTTTTTTCTATCATTTACATCGATCAATCATAAATTGATGAAGATAAATGATCCCTACTTGCAATGAATTCATACTCGCTAATGATATTCTAAGCATTTTCTAGAAACATCTTCCAAATTTCCGACCGAATTAAAATACAATCGTGCAAATATCATCCATGGGAGAACACCGTGCAAAAGACCCGTCTATGTTTGAGAAAATAATTTTTTCACTGAAATTTTTATTGGTTATTTTCATCATACTACCATTAACATTCATATGGGATTCAATAACTTCTATACGAAATCGCTTTATATTTGCCGTAAATTCTGCTTCGATAGGACACACTCGAAAAGTGAATCTTCTTCAAAAACAGGTTCGTTCATTTTTATCTTTTACTCACTCATATTCTCATAATATTTCTTCAACTGATCATACTATTGCAATTGGAATTTTCATTGTGTATTTGTTTAGATGGTGCCTAGTGCAAGCACCTTCTTTGAAAAAGTTTTTAGCTCCATGTTCATACAGTAGTTCCCTTCCCAAATTCTTAATTTTCTTTGGTAAGGTCGGATATATCAACTGTTGTTATCGTTACTGTAAGTTGTTAGCATAATATTGGTGATTATCATCACTGGTCATTGTTCATGCTATCATTTTTTTGTTATGATATGATGTTACTGATCTATTCACGCTGATAGCTGTATTGCTGCTAACAGATCCGAACGTGGATCGACCATGGCCGTAAGAAAAAACTGTGTAACGCTCGACCAGCATGGCAGTCGATCGGATATCGTTTGAGCACCTATAAAAGTTCAATGCAAACGATCGGCACTGATCAACTAATCGATATTCTTCAGGTCTTACAGCGCCATTCATTCCGTTTTCCCTTCTTATCTTATTCAATAAATCATTTGAATGATATAATCTAAACCGCTCACCTATGAATTCACTTATGAATTTCGTATGAATTGAATTCAGTATCATAATCTGTCCTCGAAATCAGTTTGATGTTATACGGCGGCTAACTGTGAGAAAAAACTGAAGATGAATCCAAAACAAGACATTTTGTGTGTGTGTTCCTTGTCGGGGTTGATATATAACTCCTGATCTGCAATCGTTCCGTTGAGGTACGATGGAACTGACTTCTCATAGATTACTTCCCTATACTGTTCGATTCGGCATGCCAAAGCTAATATCTGACGCAAAACCCGGGTTGGTTCATTTTCTTCTATGGTTTCGATTGTTTTAAGGTTGATACTGAAAATCGCACGGTGACAGTGGAGCCGTGCGTCACAATTGGGCAACTATTAGACGCACTCATTCCGATGGGTTTCACGCTCCCGTTGGTGCCAACTTTCGACGACTTAACTGTTGGAGGTTGATGGAACTTTCTTTTGTGTTTTTATTCTCTCTTCACAGTTCGAAATCGTGAATGTGCTAGTGGAATAAACGGATTTTCGTTCCGTGAGGAAGAGCGATTCATGCAAGCGAGATATTTAGTATTCCAACGCCAATTCGCCAAAATTTTGGCAGCATACGAAGTAATGAATCAGGTTGGAAAAATCGCCTGCGCGCCGGGAAAATTTTGGAAATTTTCAAGTTTATGATTGTTCCTGACGCTTTCGTTGTTCCGAGTAGGAAGGCGGTGGTAATCTATCGGCCTTTACTGCCTAGACCACTGGGCGACTGTTATAAGAGCTAGAATTCCGGAAAAGTTTCACGGAGAGAATTGCGTGGGCGTGATTCACTTTCTTTTTCGGACAATGGTCAAGTATCTGAAGTCCCTGATTTCTGGTACTTATCATTCATATATGTATATACCAGCCATTCTCTGCTTGCGGTTATTTCTATGGGATTGACAATTTTTCATATTCAAGGCCTAATCAATGGTTGTGGTTTCGGCTCGAGTGGCCGTAAATATGGTCTTTTTCAACATATTTGTACATCTTATGAACTGTTGATGCCTGACGGGTCTGTGATTACGGCGAGTCATAGCCGAGTACGGTACTTATCTTCATCAATCGCATGCAACGAATACAGATTAATGCAAAGCTAGATATCAACTGCTTATTTTCTCGTTTGTGAATGCACATATTCTATTGTTTTAAGCTATGTTCTCTATAAGCAGTGATGTTATCCTTCTAACAAAATGCTCTTCTATGAGAATGTTTAGTCAATTTTGTGTTTTCTGCAGAAATCTGCTCAACCGTCCGAGAATCACGCTCTCTTTTATGGTGTACCATGGTCATGTGGATCATTGGGTTTCATTGTTTCGGCAACACTGAAGATCATTCCATGCAAGCCGTTCGTTAAACTCACCTATATTCCATGTGACAGCATTGAAGTTTGTCATTTTCATACCGAAC